CCAGAATTTAGAAGATTATTCAGTTCTTTATCTATTCTATTATTTATTTGTCTATGTTGCGTATCTTATTCAAAACTGGTATATGTGGCTTGTGCATAAATGATGCATTTCCTTGTTGCCCATTACTATCTTATTTAAAAGGATTTTTATTCTTTAAGTTTCAAATGCATGTTCTCTTTTCTGGAAAATGGAATGACTGTTGTCAGGATTGGAAAGCCATAGCAGCCGATGTGTCTAATTTGTTTCTATCATCAGGAGGCTGACCTTTGCTGAGTGTGGGGACTGACAGTGGTAAAATAAGAGATTTTTAGGCTTCAGGTACTAACTTGAGCCTGTGGGAAAGTCAAGTACATAACTGACTCTGGCCTGAGAAATCATAAGGAGGAATCCAAACAGTCCTTAGAGAAGGAAAACAATCTTTGCAGGTGTTGTTTGCCACCTTATTGTTTACTTGTAAGAAACAGTCAAGGTGTGTAGTTCCTAACTGATGTTTATGTAGTTCCAATGATGTTTATGTGTTAGTTTCATGACCAATGAGAGTTTCACCTTTTTGGACCTGCTGGGAACTGCCTATAAAAGAAGATCTGGAAGAGTAAAACTTGATCTCTTTTGCAACTGAGGCTAGAGAGTCTGTGTCGTCACTTTACCATTCCTAATACAGTGCAACAGCTGAGCTTTTGTTTTATGATTAAATCCATAAACTCAATCACCTGGGCTGCAAGATTTAAATTGGTTCCTATGATTTCTAATGGAATTTTTTCCTGCTGCCCTTGGTTATAGAAACAAATGTGTCATAATCCCGGAATCCCAGGGGCTAGACTGCTTTTCTGGATTCTCTTTTTTTGAAGCAAAGTTAAAATGTAATACAGTAACTTTAGCTATGTCTCAGTTGTGACAAAGATATAAATTCAAGTTTCAACATTTACCTCTTTTTGCTGCTTAAGAGCATTTCTTTTTTGCTTTCACAAAAATGGGCCATGTACAAGATTCCAGATTGAAAAATTCATGACTCAGACTTCAGAGAACATTATTTTCCTCATTCTCATGATATCCAGCAGTGAAATATGAAAGGTGAGGTGGCAAATACCATCTTCTCTTTTGAAGTATATGCTAGGATCCTCATGGGATCTTTCTTGATCTTTGGCCACTACAGATGCACTCTTGCACGTTTCTAATGGAGGAGGAATGCAGCTAATTAAACCATTTTGCAAAGTCATAATCTATACTGAAGTTGAAGATCTGTTCAATGTCTTAAAACTCCATAATTGAGGGATTTTCCAGTAAAAATGTGTCCTCAAGTCACCGGATTTTTTTAAGTATCAAAATACTTTATGTTATATTATTTAAAAACTTTAAGTAGTTTAAAATGTTATTTCCTTTTCTTCAGCCATATGGTATACACATTAAAATAAGCAGAAAAGTTCAATTTATGTGTTTAATCTATCACAGTAAAAAAACTGTTACTACAGTTAAAAAGCATCTGCAATATTAAGAAAAGAAGGGAGCAGAAAATACTGAACATATATTTATTTACAATATTTTTGGTTCAATTTCAAAACAATTGAATTGGAGCTCACTCCAGTATTTGTCACTTCTTGTGCTTGTAGATAGGGTTAGTAAGCTTCTGTTCAGGTGAAGGATAATACTGACGGCCACTGTCACTTTCATCTCCCTCTAAATCTCAAAATCCATCACTAGGTCAAAGAAATCCTCTTCTAATAACCATTCCTTGGGAATAACTCAGAGAACGGCACGGAGGACTGGCTCTTCGTGAAATCGATCAATAAGGGATTTATTTTTGAAATGCTGATTATATTTAGCTTTTCATGGTGGTTCTGCCTATGTAGTAAGGAAATGTGGCTGATTTAAAAGGCTGAAATCTCTATTAGAAGCAGCAGATTACATTCCCAAGGTAAGCATGCACACTGCTTGTTGAAACTGCTTATTGCAGAACTGCTAAGGACTCTTAGCGTGTTAGAAAAAACAGAACATGCTGTAGCATGCTGCAGATTTCAATGTTAATGAAGATTTTTTTTGCTGCTTTTTGTAAAGAAAAAAATTAAACCTTTATATGGTGCCAGAATCTGTTCCAGGGTATCCTTATTTAAAGCATTTTCTCTATGAAAGTAATGATTAGAGATGTGAATGTGGTGGGCCAGTAAGAAAGGGAGAAATACGTAAAATACAAGAGTAGAAGATACAGGAGCTGATCTTCCACTCATTACAATCCTGTAAAAGGAAAATATTGCCTTCATTTTCTTGCAGCCCTAAAGATTTTGATGTTTAGTAATTAATATAATTAGTTTTCAGGCCATAATGCTTGAAAACTTGGTTGTTTATCATAGTAGTTACATTTTAAAAAAATCCAGAGTAGTAAAAGGAAACTATTTGCGATGATACAGTAAAAACCATATGGTAGAAATCTAAAATATATCTGAAGAAAGCATCTATCTATTACATTTTTAATTTACTACCTAAATATGATAATGTGAAAATGTGCATCCCGATATTAAAAAGCACTGTAACAAGCTGTGACAATGTATCAGTTTAAGAAAAAAATACGTGTGACTACAGAATAGGAAACATCATAGTGATAGAATTTAGTAAAAAATTTGAAATTCCTGAAGATGCATAAAGATGAGTTTGGACCCACTGAGTTTAATGTGATGTTTTCTATTTTACCCAGTATGGGAAAATGCTGTAACAAGAGTCCCCAAACTAGATTTAATTACTGTGTCTGTCCAGCTTGCACTGGGCACATGCTGCATTAGCACTTCTGTGTTGTAGGCTTGGGAACTTAAAGTCCCCACAGTTTGCTTTCAGACTAGTGGAATTTGAACATATTCTTGTGCTACACATCCTGACTGATTGACAAGGAAATAAGCTGGTGCAGAACTTACCTGAGCTTGACATTCAAACTTGGTATTTTGAGACTACAGGGTAGTTAATACTTCAGTTTCTATACTACTTTATGTTTTCAGTGCCTCAGTAATATGAATTACTCCAGTCCTGCCTCAAATGGCAGCTCCTCTTCCCCCGGAAATCCTATACATGGCTGCTTCCCCAGAGCACCCAGTATCCCACAGTGCCTCTGCTTATAATAGACACCAACAGAGCCAGAGGAATTTGTTTATTTGAAAAAATGCACAGCAAATCCTATTAACCTGAAGAACATGGAAATGTTGAGGATACAGGTTTTTTTCCCCAGCCTTCAGGCTATGTGCTCTGGATTGGTGTGATTTTGGGCAACTTATATTTTATCATACTTATCATCATCTTTAAACTCTAGTATAAGTGCAAATCAGTATGTCTGGAGAGCACAAAGTCAATTTTTTTGCTGTTGATGAAACTAAAGAAGACTCAAAGAGCAAAAGTAAACATGAAAAATACGTGCCTATGTAGAAATGCTGCTACTGTGAGTACTAACATGAACTGAATGGTTTAGAGCCCACTCTGCCAGAGAAATTATTTCCCTTGAGATTAATGCATTTGAATTTGTCTGGTGCTGAGTTGGACACAGCTTTATTTTGAGCCATTATTTGTATGGCCCTGTGGAGGATATAGGTTTAATCAGGATGGAATTTTGTGTGCCAGCATTAGTAGAGCTTTCAGAGCTCCTGTAAGCAGATATAAAGCTACTTAAATGAACTTGGTGTAATTTCAATCCTCTCACTTTCAAACAGTAAGTCAGTGGAAACCCTGGTACAGTTTTTAGTCTCCTGACGAATCTAACTTGAAGTTTACCATGTCTTAAATATTTAGAATATTTTTTTTGTCTATTTATCTTAGACCTGATCCTTTTCTTGTAAGCATTTAAGACTGAGCAGTAATATTGGACTATATTTAGTGGGTCCCTTCCAAACCAGAATATTCTGTTATTCCATGATATTACTGTATAATTTTTTGCTCCATGTGTCATTCATGTCTGATGAGTGCTGGAAACATGGACTTCCCCTCCCACTTCCTGTATAGGTGTATTTTTAGTTTCATTGACAAGTAAGAGAAGCCAAGTAAATCTGGCAATAATGTCAGCTAAATCATTCTGCTTCTCCTTTGTGGTGTGTCAGAATGCACTGCTTTAAGACCAATCCCTATGGCATTTGACTTCACTTATCAGTGGTACAGACACTCATTTGTTAGTTTGTGGCTTACAGAGATCTCTATACTCTGATTTCACACATACTGGGATATTGTTACTGCAGTGGATAGCAGTATCAATACCTGTTTTATAATCCTCTCTAAATGGCCCTGGCAAATCACACTGGTAGAATTCATGCCTGAAGAGCTGGCAGTCCTGCCAAGGCCAAGATCTAACTGAGCATTGTAGGAATAAGTGGTGAAAAAGGAGAGCAGAAGTTAATTACACCAGTGCTAGAAAATTATGCACTAGAATGCACTGTATTAGCTATAAAATATTTCAGGGTTGTTTTTTCCCTTGAGATGAACAGACCAGACATAAAGAGCCACTAACATTTCTGTGTAGGTGTTTATATACCACCTGCTGTATGAATAAGGAAGCTACTACATTAGTCTTACCCTCTTATTTACAGAACCCACTCCTTGGTCTCAACAGTCTAAGTCTCATTTATCAGATCTAATGAGATTTCTTTGGACCTACAACCAGGGGATACTTTTTAGTCTGGTTTTCAGAAGGATGTCATCTGTACATGAATCTGTTTATCAATCTTGATGCAGTGTTTCACACCTGTGGTTCAAAACCCAGTGAAACAGTGGTAGATGTTTCAGACACAATTGTTTAAATAATTTCAAAGTATGTGTCAAAACTCAGGAGAAAGACCTAAATTAATGCTTCCCTAAAGATGTGTAAAATGTTCCCTTTAGCAGCAGTTGCCAGGTCATTTTCCTTTCTGGTGGGAATGTGATGAGAGACAGGAAACTAAAAACATTGGTCTTCAGGAAAACAAGGATTTTTTGGCAAAAAAAAGAGCGACTTATTCTAGTGGTAAAATGACTTGATTTTTTTTTTATTCAGTCTTCTCCAATTACCCAAGCTAAAACAAACCTGACCATGAAGGTAGGAGTGATTGAGACCCATCACTCCCATACAATTGTTCCCAGTGTGGTAGTGCATGACACCAGTAAGGACCTTGGACTGACACACAAAGGGGAAAACAGGTATGTCAAATATACTTTGCGTCAGTTTGTTTTTTTATAGTTTGATGATTTACATAGGGTTATCTAAACACATATACCTGCTATCATATAATTTTCATCACTCTTAGTAATAAACAAAGCTTTAAAGATTGTAGTATTTTGCTTATTGTAAGTATTAAAGAGTTTGTTTTTTTTTTACATTTCAGCAGATATCATATAACTGTGTTGTTTTGTTGTTCCCCAGACAACAATATCTACCTGGAGTATTTGCATGCTGCAATATTAACAATAATAGTAATAAAGAGGAGTAAGTATCTTTGCCATTTGATGAAATGAGAGTACTGCAATTTTGATTATAAAAGCAGAAATAAATAATTATAATAAATATCTAGTAATTTCATTAGAAACAGATATGTCATTCAGGTAAGCCCAAAAGAGACTGCACATATATTTCAACTTCATGCACATCAGTTATGATGATGATCATCCTTATTACCAAAGTTACTGATATTGTATCTATTAATTTTAAACAAAAGTAGTTCTGGGTGAATAAAATAAGCAGTAAGAAAACTATGTTTTTTGAAGGCCAAGCATTTGAGTATAATATTATCCTTACTGAATTCAGATGCTTATAATAAATAGATGTTGAAGAAATGGGATGTGCATCCCATGAGCCTATCATATTTTTCTTTTTCTTAGAGAGGAGAAGAAAAGGAAAAAAGAAAAGAAGAGGTAAGATGAAGAGTAGTAATACTACTCTTGCTAAGATATTTAGTTTTTTTCTAAATATGTTTTAACTTGGTCCTTAATAATGGAAAATATTAATCTATTTCTCAGCAAGCCAGAAAAAAAAAAGGATGGAGAAACACAAAAGAACAAAGAAAAAAAGGATAAAAATAAAAATAAAGATAAGTGGAAGAAGAAAGAAAATATGGAAGCGTAAGTATTTTCTCTTTAGGTCCAGTTATGCTGCATAATAAAATTGCTTTTGATGTAAGAACAAATTAATTCACAGATGTCTTGTAAAGATGTTTATAACTTAGTGAATGAGAGTAAGGACTGCTGTTGTTCTCCCTAGAGGAGAGTTATTTTGACTTAAATTCATATGTGGACAACAGAAACATGCATGCATGGAGGTGATCTGAACACATTAATCAAGATATATCTCCTTTGGATTTTGATTATCTAATATTTCTTGGATAACACACTGCAGCAAACGACGTGTCAGCATAAAGCAATCTCCACACAGAAGGGCACCTACAAGCAAGTAAACTCTTCTATGCTCTAAAAGTTGTTGCTTTATAGTCTGCTTGATAAATTCATAATTTTCTTGGTAAGGAAGGAAAATTTGAAACAGTGCAGTAGAAACCTGTGTTGTATGATTTCCTGTTCTTTGGTTTCTTTATGTAAACTATGCCAATGTTTTATCTTTCTCAGGCTAGACTTTGTGAGAAAGGCATGATTCATCTAATAATTTATATTTATTTAAAAATTAGTAGTCACATAATATTTTTTTTAAATGATAAAATAAATTATCAGACAAGAGAGTAATTTGGGTAGGAAAAAAATAATCTAAAAATCACATGTGCCACTATAAAGTGAGACTGCCAAGCTAACTTTGCTCATCAAAATTTAGATTCTAAAATTTGTGTCACACCAAGTCACACCAGCTTCATATCTTCCATGCATTTGAGCAAGGAAGTTTAACTCTGATAAAGACCATTTATTTCACAATAATAATATCTGGAATGCTTAGTTCCTCAAAAATGATACATGTATTTCAAGTCTCTTATTAAATCTCTTTTTTTCCCCTCCTTACCACTTAGGAAGACGAAAGATATTTTCACCATTGATCCAGCAGGAAATATATATTACAACTGGTTATTTTGCATCACAATGCCTGTCATGTACAACTGGACCATGATTATTGCTAGGTGATGTACTCCTTTAATAACTACATAGAACTTCTGGAAAATCATAATATTCCTGACTAGATCAAAAAATATTCTATTAATCAGTGATTCATGCAAGTATTTAATTTTTGTTTTATGGTAATTTACACTTGTTTCTTCATATTCAGAGCCTGTTTTGATGAGCTTCAGCATGATTACTTAGTGGCATGGCTTATAATTGACTATGTTTCTGATGCCATTTATGTTGCTGATATGTTTGTACGGACAAGGACAGGTAAATACACTCAATGATTAATTATTTCTTTTTACATATTTATGCCAGGTTTATTTTTTTAAATCAAAACACTACTACTTAATAGCCTTGATGAGGTGCATTAGTGAAAAAAAGACACTGAGATTTCTGAAAGACTGCAGTGTTACTGTAAATAGTAGGAGAAATTCTGATGAAATTCTGATGTATTACTCAGATACAGATAAAGTTTGAGATATGCAGCTACAAGGTGTTCTGCCTGCAGCTGACTCACCGAGACAAAAGAAACATGTGGTACAGCCAAGAAAGGATCAGGGGGTTCTGAAAAACCAGCAGCTGAATCTGGTTTATGTGTTAATGGGAGACTCAAGTATTTGCTTGATTTTCAAGACCATTGAGCATGCAAGACAGCCCATTAACTTCAGCTGCAACTATTTATTTTAAAATATTATGCTATGGAGCTATTAAGTAGATACACTCAATATGGAACTGAAATTCCTGTGTTTGAATTCTTTTCCACATTAATCACCCTTCCTATAGCTTGTGGAGATTTCTTTGGAGGGGAAGATGGATTTTTTTTTTTTGTTCACCATAATGGAAAATGTTCACCATAGTGGAAAAGTGGAGGAAAATATTCAGATCTAGAATTGTTTATCATTCATAGCTCAAGCTGAACCATATAGCACTAAGCAGACTATCTGGAAATAAGAAACTAGATATTAGAATGTAAGAGAAGTTATGTTCCATATGGAACTTGCACCCAAAATATTTTTCAAAGTAGATTTGGACTGACACTAAATCCAACACGTTTGAACCTGTAGCATTTTTTGTTATTTACAATTTCATTTTAGGTTACCTGGAACAAGGTCTTCTGGTGAAAGAAGAACAAAAGCTACGAGAGAAATACAAGAAATCTTTTCAATTCAAACTAGATTTTTTGTCAATCATACCAACCGATCTCTTATACTTTAAGTTAGGATTGAATTACCCAGAATTAAGAATAAACAGACTACTCAGAGTAGCTCGTATGTTTGAATTCTTCCAGAGAACAGAAACAAGAACAAACTACCCAAATATCTTCAGGATCTCTAACCTTGTCATGTACATTGTGATTATTATTCACTGGAATGCCTGTGTGTACTACTCAATCTCAAAAGCCATTGGATTTGGGGCTGACACATGGGTCTACCCCAACACCTCAGATCCTGAATTTGCCCGACTGACTAGAAAATATGTCTACAGTCTCTACTGGTCAACGCTGACCCTGACTACTATCGGTGAAACCCCCCCTCCAGTAAGAGATTCTGAGTATTTCTTTGTGGTTGTTGACTTCTTGGTTGGAGTTCTGATCTTCGCTACCATTGTTGGTAATGTGGGCTCGATGATCTCCAACATGAATGCTGCCAGGGCAGAGTTTCAAGCGAGAATTGATGCTATCAAGCAGTATATGCACTTTCGGAATGTGAGTAAGGACATGGAAAAAAGAGTTATAAAGTGGTTTGACTACCTGTGGACAAATAAAAAGGCTGTGGATGAAAGAGAAGTCTTGAAATATCTGCCAGATAAGCTAAGAGCAGAGATTGCAATCAATGTTCACCTGGAAACGCTAAAAAAAGTTCGGATTTTTGCAGACTGTGAAGCTGGTCTGCTGGTTGAACTGGTTTTGAAACTCCAGCCTCAAGTATACAGTCCTGGAGATTATATTTGCAGAAAAGGAGATATTGGACGAGAGATGTACATTATCAAAGAAGGCAAGCTGGCAGTAGTTGCTGATGATGGAATTACCCAATTTGTGGTCCTAAGTGATGGCAGCTACTTTGGAGAAATCAGCATTCTTAATATCAAAGGTAGCAAAGCTGGCAATCGCAGAACAGCCAATATTAAAAGTATTGGATACTCAGACTTATTTTGTCTGTCTAAAGATGATCTCATGGAGGCTTTAACAGAGTATCCAGATGCAAAGGCTATGCTGGAAGAAAAAGGCAAGCAAATCCTAATGAAAGATGGGTTGCTGGACATTGAAATTGCAAATTTAGGAAGTGATCCTAAAGATCTGGAAGAGAAGGTCGCCTACATGGAACGTGCTATGGACAGGTTACAAACAAAGCTTGCCAGGTTGTTGGCTGAGTATGAAGGTGCACAACAGAAAGTGAAAAAAAGACTTACACAAATAGAGAAAATATTGAAGCCAGTTATAGAGGAAGAGTTTGCAGACTTAGAAGAAGCGGATCCATCCACAGATAAACCTGGATTGTCAAAAGCAGAATAAAAACAATGGAAGACTGAGGGTCAAATCCTGACTGGGGCTGAATACATGAATTTCTAATCTTTGTAGGACCTGATTATTAAATACAAAAAATTTATTTATTGAGACAATGCCACTAACCTCCTACAAGCAGTGCGTATTTGGCAGTTTTGGGGCAGAAAAAGAAGAATAAAGAATGGGAATGAAAGATAACACTTTGCTCTTGCACAAAGAGGTGGTATTATCTGTTAATGCGTTTTGTATTCTCCATAACGCTGCTCTATGGCAGATGCACATACATTGTCATATACTGGCAAATATTGGAAGTTTTGCAGTTGTTTTAAAATTTCTTTGTGTCTGCTAATGGAAAGATGGAAAGGTTTGGTAACAATTATATTATGTGAAGGAGTACTGAAGGCTGTAAGATTTGGAAAATACTATTAGTTCATTTGGTCCACCTTGGCTGATTTCTTGAAATATAAGTGGGCAGTTTGAAATAGTCTTTTTTTCAGGATAATACATGCAAAAGTTGAAATACAGACAGGAGAAAACACAACTTTTTGCAAGCATCAATGTGAAAGACATGCAAGGCTCATAATCTAGTGTTCTTTTCACAATAAGAAATAACATACAAATAAAAATATACATTAAAGATTATTCTGTTTCATGTAATCATGTGGCTGTGGAGCATGGGCTATCAAGTTTTGAAGATTTGTAATTAAATATGTTTATGTCCTTAAAGTAAAATTTCTTTATGCTGGCAGAGTGCAAGGGGAAGACGCAACACCAACAGGCCAAATTCTTTCTACAGTGTGTTCTGTAGAGGCTGTTGGGGGAAAAATATTACTAAAGAGGCTGTACTTCCCCACTGATAGAGGATTTCTCTCTTCAAACTCCTTCTGACATAGTAAAATATATAGATTCATTTGTTAGGTCCATTTTCAGCTGCTTTAAGATGCATTATCTCCTTGGATTTTCCCCTAATTTTTGTTTTTTCTCATTGGCAGAAAAATGGTTTGCTTAGTTATGGTCTCAGCTGAGTATTTGCAGCTGAGTATTTTCAGTAGAATTTGATCATAGGTACAAAACATTGGATAAATTTGATGAAAAGGAGTGAAGAAAGGTACTGTAATAAGAGAATGGATAATTCTCTATTTAAGGAAACTAGATTATCCTGAGCAACTGGACTGCCACTCTTAAAAAATATATATGTACATGTTACTGTCAATAATATCTTTACACTTGTATTTTCTCCTTAATAAGATGGAGATAATATAAATTGGGTATTTTATAAAGTACATTACTTTCTGGTTGTTTTATATTTTGTAATGTTGATGCTTTCCAGGATGCCAGAGATCTAGAAATAACTCTGGATTAACTGCAAGGCTGAAATTCTATCAAGTACTTAATGCATAGGATATATACAGAACAACAAGGGTAAATATAAATACAAAATGGCTATTCATGCCCTGTTGATCCTATGCTTTGAATAATCAATGGCTTAATTAGCTGATAAGGGGAAAGGGTATGCTATCCTGTCAGTAAAGATTCTATCCCTGTAGACAGGAACAAGGATTATTCTGGTATTTAGCTATATTTTGAGTGTTGGACTTTGCAATCAGCATTCCTCCAGCTCAGATCTTGAATATAATTTGCAATCTGTATGCCAGCAGCAACCTATCCTATATGGTTACTAAGCACTTCGGAAGCACTTCTCTCCTTTGTTGAAGTGTTTAAGACCTTTTATTAGATAAATGTGTGATACGAAGTTTTAATTTAAAAAAAGGCAGGTATCTACTGTTAACAATTTTTTTGGTATTGATCCTTCAGTCTAACACATGGATTGTATTCACTAGCTGCCTCTTTCTTGAGAATAAAAACTCTTTGATTCAAACCATTTCAAAATAAAACAGAAAACCAGAATTGACCTCCAGTGGTTTGCTTACTATTTTCAGACTACTTATGGTTGGAAATCTTCTATAACAACTTTTATGAGAAGGTATTTGCTGAAAAAATGCTAAACGCAAAGTTTCCTCCTGGCACAAGACATAATGTAAGTGCTATGAGAAATGTCCATAAAATTACAATTATTTCAACCTACTTTTGATTGTCAGAACTTGGGAGGCACACAGGTTCCTCAATATATGTTTCTGTGTACCAAAACTTTCTGGATGTACTTCAGTGAAGTTTCGAAACAGGCTTTGCGGTCTTTTAACACAAAGTATGTGTTTTACACTCCAGGAGCCATGAAGTTCTGGGAGTTACAGGAGCTATGAAGAAAATGTCTGCAAGAGCCGCATGCCGCAGGAGCGGCTGCCAGAAATTCACTCCGGAGAAAAGGAGGCTCATGGAGAACCTTATCGCTGGATAAAACTACCTGAAGGGAAGCAGCAGTGAGGGGAGTGTGGTGTCTTCTCCTAACAAGAGACAGGACGACAGGAAAAGGTCCAAATTGCGCCAGGAGAAATAAGATCAGTTTAGATTAGTCAGATTAGTAACTAGGTTTCCTAGTTGCTAGGAAAAAAATCAGCCGAAACGGTTGTTAAGCACTGGAACAGGCTGCCCAGGGAAGTGGTGGAGTCACCATCCCTTGAGGCATTTAAAAGACCTATAGATGTGGTACTGGGGACATGGTTCAGTGGTGGAGGTGATAACGCTGGGTTAATGAAGGACTGGCTGATCTCACACCCTTCCCAACTCGGAACACTCCGTGACCCAGGGCCAGGGCAGCCCCGGCTCCGATCCCCGGCGGCTGAGGCGGTGCCCGCCGCCGGNGTCCCCGGCGTCGCGGGGATGGGACGCTGGCGGGCCCCGGCCCCTCTCCCGCGCTGCCTGGCGGTGTCGAGCCGGTGTTCGCCATGTGCCGTGTCCTGCCTGTGGGTTCCTGCCGGGGAGAAACGCGGAGGCCTCAGGCCGCGGCGAGGAGCGAAGAGTTAAGCCCTCGCCAGGGTACACCGTCTTCTTCTCGGAACAGAGGAGTAAAGTGTGAAGTAATGGATGAAACATCTGGGGTTTTTTTTGTTGGAAACAGCCAGGGGAGATACCCGGTAGAGACAGGGTTAAGTGCGCTGGTCAGGGAAACACTTTGCTCCGGTCAGGGAAAGGTGCGGGCTTTCGGTGCGCGCCGCAGCTGTGAGTGCAAGCTCATCCTCGGGAAATCCACCAGAGAAGGGCCAAAGACAGAGCTCTTTTTAGTGGCAGCATAGTTTCTTAAGAGGAGCCTTAAAACTAAACTTGGCGAAACCCCGGTAAATATATTGGGGTCTAGTAATCTAAAAAGGAAAGGTAGTTATCTCCTGTGAAATAGCATGAACGTATTGCAGTAGAGATTTGTTGAATGTGAGGGAGATCAGTGAAAGTCATAATTGAAGAAATAACAGGTGCTGGAGAAATACCTATATGGTATCTGCAAGTTATAACAACTGTAAATTTGTTATAAACAAAACTGCGTGTTGTGTTTTGTTTTGTTTTGTTTTTCTTCATGCTGTGACAGTTGTGTTTGTGTTGGTTGTGTAGGGTTTTCTTAAGTGTCTTTTAAATAAAGCAGCATTATAGCTGCTTGTATTCTGGTATGTTAGGTTGGATTTGTCAGCAGTAATTGACAGAAAATAATTCCTGCTGTGAATTTTATAATACACAGTAAAAAAGTAAATACAGTTTATCCGTTCTTGTGTGGTATTTAAAATGTAGTGATGTAATATTCGTAGAAATATAAAATCAGCAAGCTCTTTATAGAAAAGGACAGTTGAAAATATGTAGATCTGAATGTGATGTTTACAGTTAGCTAGCTATCATGGTATTAATAATCATTAGTATTTTCTTTTAATAGAATTATCTTCACTGAAGAAATTTGATGAAATTAAGAAAGCTAATCAGGCTGCAGCAAAAAAGCTAGTTGAAGACCAATTAAGCTCCTCATCTGAAGATGATGATGAAGATGCTGAAGTGAAACAAGGGAAGATTTTGGATAAAACATTTACCATTTACACCAGTCAAACTGGTAATGTTTTGGTTTTTTTTCATGTATTGATTTTTATTTTGGTTTGAAAGCATAAGCAATGCAGTATCACTGTGTATTAGAATTTTACTGTAATTGGAGGGAAGGCACTGTATCATGATGTCTTACATTAAAAATATTTTTTCTCAGCAGTGCATGCTGGCTGTACTTCTTGTTTTTTTTGTGCAGAAGCAATGGTATGGCTGTAAACTGTCTTTAAGTATGGCTTTTTAAATAATACGTTTTATTCAGAGAATAAATACTTTTGTAGCAGTCTCAACATGTACAAAATAACAGATCAAATGTTACTGATTCCTTTAAAAATCTTTATCCATTAAAGATGGCGATGCAAGTGAACTGGAACGTACGAGGCAGTACATGAATGAGGCTTTTCAGTCAGGGGCCATGACATGTCTCATCTGCATTGCTTCAGTTAAAAGGAACCAAGCTGTAAGTACTTTACAATAATCTTTTAGAGCAAAATAAATGTAACTGCCTGAATAACTTGTATTATATTATTGAGGGTATTCTTGGGATTGATAGCTTTAAAATGGTGAAAGTAGTAAATGCAAACTTGGTATCTTTGGATTTTGAAACACTGGAAGACATAAGTGGTTATATGTGTAGCTGGTAATCAGAATATGCTTCTGTTGGCCATATGTTTGTTGTCATAGTATAAAATAGCTATTTTTAAATTTTAGGTAGTAGCAGGTGACAAAGATAAGTGCTTGAATGCCAGTGCTTGCAATTGTGTATTCAATAAGCTATGGAGTAGCAAAGTAAAACGTGAAATACTAGAAAGAGATATTATTGTTAGATTTAAAGCAGGGAAGCTAAGATAAACTTTGCTGCCCTCAGTGCTGATCAGGTAAAAAAGAAGAGTGTTTCAGAGAAGTTTGTCCTGTTTCATATAGGTACGTTTTATATGGGAGAGATTTCAGGACAAATATTTTTTCCTTTTTTTGTTAAAGGTATGTCAATCAAAAACATGTTTGTAATTGTATGTTTAGCATTAAAAAGAAAAGTAGTGCAGAAAATATTTTAATTTCTT